CCTCGAGGTGACTGTTGTTGTGATTTGCTGTATAAATAAAACTCAAATGAACTGAATTGAACGAATATTAAACAGAACACACAGTATTTAAAACGAGCTCAGTCGTAAACATATGAAGCTCTAACATTCATTTATTGAACACGGCGACACACTGGGGCATGTTTCTGCAGGATAATTATTTTTATTCTTCACAATAGAGTTTTTTGTGTATTGAGGTGTTTTTTTAACAGTGTTTCATAAATGAAAATGTCTGTAAATTTCCTCCACTGCTTGTTATTTTCAGCTAATAATAAATGCTCGGTGAATGCTGCATTCAGCTAGAACATCACATCAGTAGTAACGGCAGCCGGGTCACTAATATTAACATTAAATCAGTGTGCAACTAAACAGTGTCAGAGTTTGTGGTTTTCTCTGGTCTTTCCCAGTCAGAGCAGCAGGGACACGTTCAGCTCTCGCTTCTAAAAATCTGTCCAACTTTATTAAAACCTCCAAAATGTGACAATCCAGAGTTGGGACCAGGAAGCAGAGTAGTCTGCTTTCTTCTTTGTGTTGGATTACAGCGAGTAGATTCAGACTCGCCCGGCCTGCAAACGCTCCACAGCATAAAATTTGTGTGAATATTTAATATATTTTATTTAATGGAGGTATATAAACCAAACAACAGATATTTCACATCACAGAGTGTTAATGAGTCGACTATAATCGGAGACTAATCTGCTGCACAGTGTCTAATATGAGAGGAGCATCCCTGAGTCACTGCAGCAGGACAGAAGCAGTGAATCAGTCCTGATGGAAACAGGAGTAAATGATATTTATGCTGATGCAACATAAATAAAATGAGCCTTGATTTTGTGTTTGTGTGTCGCTACTGAAATGATTTGTCTCACTAAAGAGCTGACGTCTCTATACCAGCCTCTTCAAGGCTGTAAGAAACAGATTGCAAACCACCTTTACTGAGGTCAAGTGTGTCTCTGACAGTTTATTCAAAAATAGAAACAGAAATGATGACAAGCAGATGCTGACGATCTAAAATTATTCTTCAAAGCTGCAGAGAGTGATGCACATGATGGGACATCGTGCTGAGAGTTCAGCTTAGAAGGAGAAGAAAAGAAATCAACTTAATCAAAGAACTGAGACGAGCAAATGTGACGGGAAGGAAAAGGATTCAGAGCTCTGGGTTTATCCAGAAAGCTCCCAAAACAGAACATCAGTACGAAATG